TTAATAAACAATTGTCCAATTTTCAGAAGAAAATAGGAAATTTAAGTATTGTGTTTTTTTTTTAAGTCAGTTATATTTTTTTATTTTTTTTTTAATAGGGAACGATAATTAAAACAACATTTAATTTAAGTAAATTATTATTGCTTGACAGTAAACTAGACAAAATTTACTTCAAATTAAAGTAGAGTTTTGTCAATGCTTAAAACCATTTAAAGTCGTTTTCGAAAGGATAAACTAAGTTAAGTTCTGTTTTGAAAACTATCTTGAATTATTCACATTTTTTCCTTATCATCATCCAACTACAATACAGATACCCCACTTTTAGAAAAACTTTCTCATTAATTAAATTAAGCTTTAAGTCTATATTAATTAAAATGAGGCTTATTGAGGAAACAGGTGAGATTCACCTGAAGGTGTGTAAAAAAATTATGTGATTGTTTATCCTATCCCCTAAAAGTCCCCTGTTTTCAGCAAAAATTAATTGTTACAAAGCTTTTATTTCATGTTCTTCATAATTTGGAATGTATCATAAAATACATAATTGCCTAAATACACTTTTTATCGAAGAAAAAATGGATAAAATAATTATTTTTTTAGATATCTATCATCTCAAGTGATAAGGAAACTGTGGTTTTTACTAAGATCTCTATAACAGAAATCGATCCGTATCATAAGTAGCCAACTAAAACGTTCCTGATCCTAATATTTATGTTTTTATGCAAATAATTCAAGTCATCAGCGAGCTTCTTTATTCAAAATGTAAGTATTTTAGGATTGGAAACACTAAGTTGGTGACTTATACCTATGGATCAATTTCTACAATAGAGCTCCTAATAAAAAACACAAGTTTCATTATCATTGTAGAAGATAAATAGTAGAAAAATCATTATTTTGAAATATTTTATTTTAATTAATAACAAGTGTTTTTATGATTTTTTTTCTGAAAATACAGGTACTTGAGGTTAGGTGACAGGATATCAAATCAAATAATGTTTTTACACAAATTGAAGTGAACCTCAACTTATTTTGTAATAAATATCAATTTAATCAATAGGGACTTAAAGCTTATTAAACAAGAAAGTGGGATACTTGAAGTATAGTTGGAGGGTGAAAAAATAAAATTGTGAATAATTCATAATTTTTTTTACAACAGAACTTAATTTAGTTTATCCACTCAAAAACCTCTTTAAATGGTTTTAAGCATTGACAAAACTCTACTTTAATTTGAAGTAAACTTTGTCTAGGTTACAGTGAAAAAATTAATAATTACCTAAATTATATAGTTTTATAGTTATTTCTTTAAAAAAAAACACAAAACATAATTTTCTTACTTTTGTGTGGAAAATTGGACTATTGCTTATATAAATTTTTTGTAGCACTTCAGGTCTGCTATTACCCCTGAAAATAATTTCCTCTACTTACAGGGTACCCATTATAGATGTGTGGAAATAAGGAGAGGGAGCATCAGTAGTTGATCCAGGATTTAATGAGGGGCTTCAACCCGAAAGCTATTTTTATATATATATAAACCTTTCGGGCTGAAGCCCCTCAAAATTACATTCTGGATCAATTGTGCTTCAAGATTCAGTTAAAAATCAGTTCATATAGATCAGCCAGTGGATTTATAATTGACTTTCATTGTATTATGAAAAAGTGCTGGAACGTGATATTGGAAAAAAACAACTGAACCATAGATCATGTCTTATTATCTTTTGGTACATCAAAGAAATGGATTTGTAATGCTACTAGAAAACACAGTAGTTCATCAGATCTTAATAAAATAAAAATAAATAGAGGAGATATGATCAAATGGGACTTCAAGTAAGCTGCTGTGATTAAAATATTATCTGACCCTGCTTTCAAGAAGTAATGCTATCTAGCATCACGTTATCACTGGAGCCATGAATAAATTGATTTTTTTTTTTTAAGTTAGGTTGACATAAATTATTTATAACTCCTCAAAAAAATTAAAGAGCGATATTGTTTTTAAGTTCTAATTTGATTGTTAAACTGATTTTGTGATGTTGAAACACAAAATATACAAAGATGTTGGCTAAAGATTTAAACTGTTTATTTATTTATTTACATGGGAATATTCTTAGTAATATGCTGATTTATATGGCAAACTTTCTTCATTCAAATTATGATTATTAAACATTTTTTTTTTTCATTAATACTGAATGCAAATAGAGTTCAGCGAAGGCATCTTAATGAATCTGAAGTGTCTAGAGCTGTCACTCTACTGGAGGAAGGTCATTCTCAGTGTTACATTGAAATCTGTCTCGGAGTTTCACAGACTGTGATCTGGAGGTTGAGGTAATTCTATTTAGTGGCTGGAGGCCTCACTAGACAACCTGGACAAGATCGTTGAAGGGTAACAAATGCAAGAGAAGATAGATTTTTAAGACTTCAGGCCTTGCATAACCGATTTTCAACTGCACTTAACTTTCTCAATGAACTAACACATGCTACTGAGGTACATGTTTCAGGTCAAATAGTGAGAAATAGACTATAAAAGATGCAGTTTATTTGAATAGTTCCTAAAAAAGCTTAATATGTTTCACAGACAAGTCAAAATTTGATTTACAGTCATGTAATCATGGACATGGTCGAGTATGGATGAGAAGAAACGAACACACAAATGAAACTATGATAGTTCGATTTCTTTTTGGAGAGAGATTTCCCTGGAAGGAAAAACTGACCTGGTTTACTTTACTGAATACTTCTCTATAAGTATTTGAAGTATATTGTATTGGAGTGGTTGAGATACAATACCAAAGAAAAATATTTTTTATCTGATAGCTCAATGTTACATATATGGTGTATTATAATGAAAAATCCATAAACAGATCAACACAAAAAATGATTGGTTTACCTTACTGAATACTTCTCTATAAGTATTTGAAGCTTATTGTGCAGGAGTGGTTGAGTTACAATACCAAAGAAAAACGTTTTACCAAAAAAATTGTAAAGTGTAGATAAAATAAAACATATATTGCAAGTAATGATAATGCGATTTGTTAAGAATGTTTTAAATAATTTTACTTAATAATGTATAACTTGCTTTAAAAACTGATAAATGTAACTTAAAAAATATGAAGATATAAAAGAATTGACAATTTTCAGTGCAATATGAGTGTGATAAAAAATGAGCAGCAAACTATTCCATTTGAAACTATCACACAATATTTATGGAAACAAATATTTAAAATGCTATAATTAAAAGCTCATAATTCATTGCCTATAACACTATGCAATTCTGCAAATAAAAAGTAATATCTAACAACACTTTATGTAGATTGGGTGAGTTTGATGGTTAAAAATAAAAAAAGAAGAAGAAAATGATGAGGCAATTTATTACTACAATGCTCATTTAGTTTATACTAAAGGTTATAAGAATAAATTTTTGAAATGGTATTCATATAGTTTCTATTTATTCAATAAATTAATTTAAAAATAAAAAAACTTTTTAATAAATGCATTTCCCAACTAGATGCTAATACTGGTAGTGGAGAGTGAACAAGTCGGGCAAGAGAAACTTCTTGCCAACTCCTAATAGCTACACAAAAGTTTCTGTCCTGTACTAACCAGAGCGGAAGTGTCAAGATTCATTTCTTGGAACTACCTAGAAATGTACACTAATCAACCCAGGTACGAATCAAATCTACATTGTTCTGAACCAAGCACTCACAGCATCTTTTCTATTAGTCAACATCAGGGGTGCACAGAAGGGATGGGTTCATGGTGCAAGTTTTGCCATCAAAAGTTTTGAGAGAGAGGGCATATTTCGATGGGGTTATGAATTTTTGGAGTAAAAAGTTTCACTCCGAAAAGTTACCAGAGGACAAAGGAGAAAACATGGACCAGACCACAGCAAGTGTAATAGTATACGATCTACGATTTTTCTAATTTTGTTTTCGCTTGCACTGAAGGGCAATAAAATTTTTTGGGACGGAGAAAAGGAGTTAATGGGCCAAAGGGGATGTGCACCACTGGTCAACATTTCTATAGAGGACATAAAAAGCATTATTACAACTTTAACCAAAAAGTCATAGAGTTAAATTATATGTTTCTCTGTTGTTTGTAGAATTCCAGAGCGACAGCTATGATATTCTTTCAAGCATTAAATCGTCATGGGATGAGCCTATGACTAAACTAAATAACTCAAGTGTGCAATTTTAGATAAAAACAGTCTAATAACTTTATAACAAAACAAATATAGAATCTTGTATAAATAGAACAATATTGGTTTTCAGTATTTCAGTGATGAATTTTACATTTTATGGGATTATAAGATGTATCTTTGGTTTCCCTCTACAGCCCTGCTCAAATGTCAGTCAACTTCTTATATCAACATTCCAAATCACATACAAATATGTAAATTCAGTCAGAAAATATACTACAATGTTTGTATCATCTTTTGTAAATATAAAATGTATTAGTTATTTCATTCATATATTTATTTTTTTAATCAAATAATCATAAAAAAAGTAATGAGAAATAAACAGAAACTATATTAAATATCAAATCATAGAACATTAAACTAATTGGAGTTCAGTTGACAAAAGTAATAAATATAAATTAAATTTTAAGATAATCATTAAAAGAAAAAGTAAGCAAAATTGCCAAGTAAGAAATACATTTATTTTCATTTTCTTATATTTATTGACTAGTTATTTGTTACAAGAGTATGTTTCCAAGGTGAAAATTATCAATTCCAAAATAAATAAAAGCCATAATGAGCTATAGAAAGTATACAATAAATTTTTTACTAATCATCATTATCTTAAACAAAAATTCTTTAACTCAATCCTTTAATTTCTTCATTCATAAAATTCTCATTGGTTTGACTCTATAAAATCAAAAATGTCATTATACATCAATTATACCAATTAATATGTATGAATGGGGTATAGAAAACCCACACCTCACCCAATCCTTATTTGTACATTAATGGTTAGTAAAAGAAGACTGATGTCTAAATGTCGAAAGGGACTTACTCGCTGGCTTGTGGGAAGGTCATGGCAGTAAACGAAGGGGATAAGGTCTCTGTGTACATCTCACAACCAGTTCCTTGAAGATAATCATTCTGCCAAGCCTGAGTGTCAGGTGACTGAAATTCATTTGTCCACATAGACAGTCGTTAAATACGACCTTAAGACTTTACTGTTATTGGAGACTGGGACGTTAAAGGATAGGAAAATGGAGAATATAACGTCAACACAATATATTTTTTAAAATTATTTAATCTTAACCTAACACATGATATTCCTTTAAAAATAAAAAAATATTTTTTCATTGAGTGTTATATTAATAAAAATAAAATATTTATTGATTTATAATAATAATAAAATGTTTACCTGTAATTATTAATTATAATTATAAAGTTTGTTTTAACTTTAATCTCTGCAACCAATCTGTTTGCAACAGATAACTTATATATTAGAACAGGAGCTTATTTTAAAAATTATTTGTCCATAAGTTGTAAATAACAAAACATAATTTAACATCAAAGAAATCAAGTGAAATAAAATCTATTTATTATCACCAAATACACTAATACACTATATAGTACAGATGTCTATATTTCTGTAGTAATTAGAGAATAAATAAAATAAAGAAGTAAAATCATTGGATGTTTGAAATAAAGGAAAATATTTAATCAATAGGTAAAAATAATTATTCCAGTCAAAAACTAGGTAAAGGTAATAAAAAGAAATGAAAACACTCATTATTTTACTTATAAAGGGGTAAATTATATTTTTATGATTCCTTACTTAGATTGTAATTAAAAAAACATCAAAAAATTGTTTTGAAAATTTTCAATTAAATGCTAATTAATGAATCTTGATTCTTATATGAAATAGAACAAATAAACTAATCGTTCTACTTAAAATTTAAAAAAATGCCAGTATTCATAAATGCCAGTTTTGTCAAACCATAGGAAAAAATGAAAAAGAAATTATGAATAGATAATGAAGAAAAAAATCTACTTAATAAAAAAAAACTCCCTCTCTGAAATTAAAACTCTTCACTTCATTAAAAATCTATATAACAGCACTCATCTCAATCTGCTGTTTCATATAAAAAGATAATTATTAAAAAAAAAAAACTATATCTCATTAAATTAAAGTTGAATTTTCGAAGAACCAAATATATAGATGTACATAGGTTCAAGGTAAAACTAACAAAAACAGTCAGTAAATTTAACAACTAGCTGTATGTAATTCAATTAGGTGCTCAATATTTGCAAAACATTCAACATGGAAGCGCTTAGCAAATGCAACTTATATTTATTTTGTGATATAATCAATGTAATACATAAATAAGAACATAAGTACATAGAATGTACCTCCAACTGATCCAGCATACAATAGATCAAACATTGAGAAGCGTATATCACACTTAAGAAAAAAAAAAAAAAGCCAAAGAAAGAACAACAAAATCCCAGCATTCCTGGTTCAATGCAAAACTGTGATGGCCAGCAAGAGGAACCTTGTCCGCTTTATGCAATTTAAGACAATTCACATGAAGACAAGATTGTAGATTGCAAATTTGAGCGAGAGCAGTGTGTAGTGACACATATGATCATGTGACGCATCTATCACAAACATTTGGAATGATTTTTTAATTTCAACTTTCCATATTTTTAATTTCGTTATCGCTTATCTAACACTCCTTCTTATTTGGGCCAAATTCTAACATACAAAAAAAATGTATTCTAGTTTTGAAGTTTCATTCCACTAAGTTAAAAAAAATTAAAATGATCCATAATTTCGAAATAGAAAACGACATACACATAAGGAAGAGTGCAATGCAATTTTCAACAGTCATACCACATATTGCATTTATAAAAATAGTCAATAAGATTTGAAATGGTAAGATATAAAACTTAATAGGATAAAAGGAAAAAGGTTTCAGCATGAAAAAATAAATAGGGAAACAGAGAAAAAGTAAGAGAAATGAGAAATAACTGCTTTGACGAACTACTTGTGGTAATAGAAACAATAAGGGACTAAAAATCATTCCAATCGCTTGTAACGAAGAAGCGCCAACTTTTCTTTTTGTTTTTCACAGGAAACTTACTCTGTTGCCTGAGCGAAAGGCATTCCAATGAATGTAGGACTTAATGATTCTGTGTACATTTCCATGCCCGTTCCTCGCAGATAGTCATTCTGCCAAGCCTGCATGTCTACTGCTTGGGCACATCGTGCATTCTATAAAACCTTTTTAGTTAGCTGTATCACTTTGTTTATGTTAATAGCTGAAATTGTGTTTCTTGTTTTGTTTTTTATTTAATTTTGATAAAACAGAAATATTTATTGAAAAGATAAATACTAATATTACTATAATGTATATAAATATATGAAAATTATATATATTTCGTCAGCTATCGTTATCACTGAAACTATTACGAATATAACTTTCTTAAACAATTAAAAAAATCTACATCATGCATCAGTTTTATGAATATTCCATCAGTAAAACTGCAGGACAGGTATTTAGTTAATAGAAATAGTGTTGATATTTCATAAAACATTTATTATGCTCATTTATTTTACAACACCAACTTGAAGGAAAGCCTCATCAAAACTTAATTGATAAATAAATGGCAACAAAAGAAGGGCTATCCATACAAAGCTCACTCAGAGGAGGATTTGTGACCCCTTGACTAGTGAAAAATTGGAAGTAAGCTCAAAAAAGTCAACCATGATAGGGAAACAAGTTAAGTTTTATGATAATAAAATAGGGTCTGAAATCTGAATAAGATAAAAATTTTGATAGTGCAATATTTTAACATTGCGCGTTTTGAGATAGATATAATGAATTTTGCTTTGATTACTAACATAATATAGGAAAATTTAATTATACTTGCATTGCATGGATGATGTAAGTTGATTTTTTACTTTTTAGAATAATTATTTACTTTTGATTTCAACAATTAATTGATAAAGAGTTAATTATAGGCCCAAAAGATAAATTTATTGAAAAGTTTATGGTTTGTGACATGATTATTGATTTAATTTGATTATTAAACTGTTCATTTTAAAGATACTTAGCAGGATTAGCTGTAGGAAATTATTTCTAATAATTTTGAAAAATTAAATGTACACCTTTTAACATCCTCGAACATTCAAGGAGATTCTATAATCCTGTATAATAGGATTTTTCTCAAAAAAACAGTTAGTTTAAGTTTTTGGTTTTATCATTCTAAGGTGTATTTTCAAGCCAATAAGATTTTTTGTGATCAGAGCAGTCTTTCATAGAAAATGATCATTAAACCTTAATTTAAATAAGTGACAAATAACAATTTATAAAAAAACAATTAAACTATTTTTTTACATATTATTTTAAATATACTTAAGATAATACAGTGAAGTAGCATTATATAGAGTATTTTTCAGCTTACCGTTTTGAACGATCTCATGGCAAAAAGATTAGCCATCATTGTTGAAAAACCTGGTGCAAGACAGCTTTGGGCTATAAAGCCCAGTTTCAATTCAGCTAAACAGATAACATCATCACCCTGTTTCCAATCCCACGAAGGAATGTTCAACAAATAAGCCTATATAGAAATTAAAGAAAAAATTAAACAAAACATTATGTTTAGAAATTACAAAAAGAGGAAAAAGAATTTAACCTTGTTGTGATACTGCATAAGCTGAATAATGACTCTAATATCATCAGAATAATTTTTAATTGAAATTACTCTCATGATGTTGGCAGCATCTTCAGCATCCGGGTCTTGACAGTACTTGTTTGCAAGAACTAAACAAGCATCTGCTTCATGAACCTAAGAATTAAAATAATATTGAACTGAGATTTGAAATATAGATATGTTTCATGTTATTGATTATTTTGTGGTTATGAAAAATTTCACTTAAGTGTAAACATCAGGAGAGAATAAAGAAACTAAATTTAAAACAAAATGTTGGTCTAATAAATAGACTAGGTAGTAGATGTAGTTGAGTATGAAAAAATTATAAACCCAGTTTCTTTTCTGATTCTTAATAAGGAAATCCTACAGACCAAACAACTGCATGTTGCTACCCGAAAATGTGGTAGGTTTTGGCTGGGGTAGGGTGAGGAGCTCTAATCTCTTTAACTTAAAGAAGTATAATTTCTTCAAGCATTGTAGAGACTCAAATTTGGATTCATATTATTCAGCTTTTAATGTTGAGAATATTTTGTTAATTCATCATTTTGATATCAAGTAAGTAAAGAAAGCAAAGTGAGTATAGAGTTCGACAAAATGTCCAAAAAGTATGTGCCCTCGCATATTTTATTAGACTGAGCGAAATTGTTAAACGTCTTGAATCCACGGGAGTTTCAAGTTATAAAAAAGAAATTTTGATGGGATTTTTAAGTAACAACTGCAGACAAGATGCACTTCAAATTATTTTTCTTTAAATATTGAAATGTTTTAGACTGTCATAAGATATTTGTACTTCTGCTGCATTGTGCCTCTATTGTCACAATTAATATCCATTAATTAATGTCACAATTTCCATTGTACCTGCAGGCGAAAACTCAGATTCTTATATGGAAGAACTTGTCACCTGTGACTGAGTCAATTAATGTAAAAAAAGTTGGTTGGAATTCACAACATACCTACCCTAAAATGACAAAAAAAGCTTATCTACTCCTCTATTCCATGATGATTGAACAATGCAGTTGCAAATATATATGTTGAACAATGCCCTACAAGTAGTAATAATGATTGTTATTTCTGCAACCGAAACTTCAAAATATTACATATTATGTGGTAATTCTGACAATATGTTCATTTCTAAAGGGAATACATATGTTTACGTGTGTGTGTTTTGTGTTACAAAAATTAGTTCAAAATTAAAATGTTTTTAAAATCATAATTCAATTATGCCCAAATTTAGTGTATAGATAACTCTGTTTTAATGAGAAAATGATAATAGAAACATTCAAATATTTAAACCTCTTCTTATTTCTCTACTACATCTTTGTCTCTCAGTTTGGTGTATAAGTGTATTGGGTTGGCAAATAAGTCCTTTCAGTTTTTCAGGATGAAATAAAACTCAATGTATTATAGAGAGAGACACTTTATTTTCATAAAATATAAAATATAAAGGATTGCTGCCCAATTATATTGGGCTGCTATATACACAGCATACTCTTCTATCCTTAGGACAATATATGAACTTATATATAAATATACAGAAGTATTAGTTAATATTAGTAAAATAGATATATATACATACATTTTTATTTATTTTTTTTTTTTCCTTTTTCCTTCCTTTCATTGTTCATGCTTTTTTTTTTTTTTTTTAACATTTAGTTTCCCTTTCTCTCACCTTTCTCTCTTTATCTCTATTGTTTTCAATTATTCATTAAATAAATACATAAATTAAAACTCTCGGGCTAGCCATGCACGTGGTGGTGAATGATTCCCAGGGAGTCGAGGAGTATATTTTCAGCCAACCTCGCTACGTCCTTAATGTCGACACCTAGTTCCTCGAGGAAGCTCCTTGTTCTTTTTGGGATAGTTCCGCGAGACCCAAACCAGAGGCCTCTCATGGTGAATTCTCTCTCTCCGAAGGTCTCACGGAATTTATCTTTTAGGAAAGGGATACATTTATCGTACGTGTTCTTCTTTTCCCTTTCCACTTCACCCGCCTGATCGAGGTCATTGCTCTCAAAGCGGACAGTTGGATCCAAGATCAGCGTGTCCTTCCTGTCTTGGGAAATGCGACAATATCCGCGTATCTCGTAGAGCCTTCACTATCGATGCAATATACCTCGTCAAAGCAGGTGAATTTCCTTTCCCTAAGGAGCCTCATCAACTCGAACTTGACCCGGTGGTGACGACGTGTTATGAGGAGGGAGTTGTTGGGGCATTTTCCCAGCACATGGGCTGGTGTTTCAGACTCTCTGCCGCATTTACGGCAGAGGGATCCAACTTCTCCGACCTGTCCGCTGGCTCCTGGGACTCCACGCAGGGGTGCATAATTAATGTTTAGTTTTAGGGTATTCGACCATTCAGACCCAGAAAGTACTTGCTTTTCGTAGATGTATCTATTCGCTTTCGGGGTCTCTTTAAAATGGCAAACACCAATACCCTGCCACCTGCAGTTGGCCCATTCCTCAAATGAATTTTCTCGTAGCGACTGCCGTAGAGCTTTCACATTTCGATGACCCTGATCAACCCCCAATCTCTCGGCACATTACATTTATTTAATCTACAAAATTTATTTTAATCTACAATATATTATTTAATATGACTTTTTTTCTTTTATTTATTTAATATGGCATCTTTCCACTAATTCCATAATGTCATGTTCATAGAACGTCTGCATTTCATTGTTAGAAAACTGATCCAAGTGGTTTTTGATGTCCTCTTCTTTCTGGAATTTCTTTCCATTCATGGAGTTCTGCAGAGACCGGAATAAGTGTAATCACTTGGAGACAGGTCTTGTGAATAGGAAGGGTGCATCTGGTGAAACATAGTCGAGCTTGTGTAAATGGTTTTCTACGCTTGTGTGTGACACATTAAGGGCCATAGCAATCTCTCCCACTGATTGTGTGAGATTTTGATCAACAATAACCTTAACATTGCTCGTTTCAATTTCATGTGGGCCACCAGACTGTTGAGCATCATTGATATCAAAATTTCCTGAATGAAATTTGGCAAACCAATTTCGACAGGTGCAATAGCTTAAGGCATCATCCCCATAAACACTGCAAATTTTTCTATGAGCTTCTGCAGCACGCTTACCTTTTTTAAAATATACCGATAATGAATGATATTTTCTTCCATATTCATAGTGCAATAGCAAATACAATACTTATTTAGTTTCAACAAGAGTTATCAGATATAGTTGTTGACATATTAAAAACTGGATAAACAATTCACCTTAGGGATTAATTCATCACATAAGAAGTTTATCATAGTGACAGAAAAATAAACCTAAAGGACTTATTTTCCAAACCAATATATGCCTCTCAATTTAAATATAAGTTAACTTTTTGTTTGTTTCTATCTTAAAAATTATTTCTAAAAGTAGCAATCAAAATCACTAAAAAATATATATGTTTGTATTCCCAACGCTAACATTGATTATATTGTCTTAAAATTTAACAAGAAAAATATGTGTAGGATAAATACTAAAAGAAAATCCTAATGAACTCTACATATAATTTGTTTTTTGCGCTTAACTTGACAGCAGAAAGGTGAGATAACAAAAATATGAAGCTATATCAGGTCATTTGGGGGCAGTAAACGATAAAAAGTCACGCTCTCCTGTTTGTTTTTCTTATGTAAAAATGTTTTTTAAAAACATCAAAAAAAATTTTTTTTTTTAATTAATCATTAAATATATTTCATAAACACAACAATATTTGTTTTACTTTTGTTTCTTTCCTATCTTCTAACATAAATATTGATTACAATTTTGGAAAATAATAGAATTATTTATGCTGTGTTTGGGATTTTTTTTCTTAACAATTTAGAATTACTTCAAAATTATTGCTTGTTTTGGCCAACATTGTTTACCTTTTAATTGCATATTTTATATTTCTTTTACACCATAAAAATTCAATCTCTGAATATGACATTAAACTATCCATCGGTAGTAATCCAATAATGATTTTACATGTAAATTTTGATATTTATATTGAAAATAAGTAATTAAACATTAGTTAAGAATTACTTTTATATCTTTACAAAAATATTTATAATGCATTAAAGCGTCTATAATATAAATATTCTACTATCAATTAACAACTAATAGCCTTACTTAAAAAGTAATGAATATTGAATATAAAAGTAATCAAAAATTAATTCTATAGTTCGACTATAAATTGTTAGCATTCCAAGGGACAAGTCCATTTGGCATTATGTTAAAACAAACATTATGTTTTTCCCTTGATCTCTGATAATACATTCAAAATTTTACTAACTTACACATATATTACAAGATTACAATATCATCTTGTAATAAATGTAAATATTTTGTGAGTAATTTGAAAAGGTTAGAGGCAAAAACAAAATATCAGTTTCAATAAAGTGCTGAATGAGTTCGCCATCGGAATGCCAATTATAATTCTGGTAGAACTATAACTTATAAAAGTCTAATAATAATGAGTAACATTGTTTTATAATAAAATAAAATGAAAAATGAAATTCTCTTTTATCAGTAATAACTGATGGAATGCATATTTATGAAGAAAATATAGTGAAATAAAATTTATGATGTGCTTCTAATCTACACATGTCTAAATCTAATCTAACTGATGAACATGCTATCTAATTAATAATAAACTAAACAAACAGAAATTTACAGTTAAAGTATGAAACTTACCAATAGAGCATTAGGGGGGAAATACTTAATTGTAAGCTATGCATAATTAGAATACAAATAACTGATTAAAAATACTTCAATTCTGTTCAATGATTTTATTTTTGTAGAAACTGTTTTAAATTCTATATAACCAATTTTACTAGTCTAAAACTTAAAATCAGAAATAAATAATATTTAATAACAAGAATATTTGGTTATCCAACCATATTTTCAAACGATAAAAACATTAGGAAGGATAATAGTGTTATATGGTATATTTCACACCAGTAATTTAGTTGATTAAACAGTAATTTAGTAACAAAATATTTGTGATCAGCTGAAATTGAGTAGAGTAGTTTAGTTAGTGATTTAGTCAAGTTCTGTTTTTTATGAGGTACTCATTGTAATGGCTATAGTTCACTGAACAAACAATTGTAAACCTCTCATTTTAGTTGAGCTCATTAGTAATCATATGAATGTTGTTTCTGGAGCAAAGCAACAATTTTGAAATTTTTTCTGAATTATGAATACAATAATCTGAATACATGAATACTCGTGGAATGTAAAGTTTCCATATTAAAAAAAAAAAAGGTGAAAAATCAGCATATATGAAATTTGAAAATATGATGAATTCCTAAAATTAGGAGACAAAATATTACGGACATTACTAGGTGGGTATATATTTTTATTAGTTATATTATTGTAAATCTGGAGTATCTCTAACTTGGAACCAGCTGTTTGGCAGACCTGGAAGACCACTAATTTTATTTTTTTACTTCCTGGCATAGCCACCTAGGAGGAAGAATGAAGAAGAAGTCTACTTATTAATATTTTTATTTTAAGCACTGTTGTAAAAAAAAGTTGTGATAATTATAATTTCTTTTCAGGTCGACCTACTCAAAAAAACAAGTATCACATCAACTCATGAAGGGTCTTGGGTTCAGTACTTTGTAAGAAAGTGCTGTTTCTAAGCCACTAGTTGTCCAAGGAACTAATTTAGACATTCTCGAGTTCAACTCCCAACTTTTTCACACAATTAAGAGCACTTGTTCTAGGTGGTTCTTCCAAACCCTAAGCCAAGGCTGATGTAAGAGAATCAATAATTATATGCCACAATCAGACTTGAACCATACCCAGAATATAGGAACACAGTCTAACTCACTGAACTACTCCACTCACCAAATTGACCTCCTTGCAAGAGTTTTAAAAAAGTATTTTAGTTTCTAAATCATTCATGGTTCAATTAAAATACTATGATAGTAATAACCAAGTATAAATTTAAATTTTCAGATTTCTGGAAAGCACGCATCAAAAAAGTAATTGTGGAATCAACCTTCCAATGTGGGCACAATGTCGCGTGGAATGCACCAGCCTCGGTTTTGATGCTGTCAAATCTCTCAATGAGCTCGTATGTCGTGATAGTCAGAGGTATTTGTTTATCTAATTCATATTGTCCTTTTGCTACCTTCCTACCTGCCCCTGAACCTCACGATCCCCTATTATTTTTCAAATTCCTTGGAAAACTGTTGTGGCACACTCTGTGCACCCACTTATGTTATCCTTTTTTTTTTCTTGAAGTTCTTATTTTTTCTTGAATATTTTTGATATTCAAGTTAAACTGAAGTCTTTAATATGTCATGTGTGTGGAATTAAAAATAACATAAATGCTTCGAAAGCATGTTTCAAGTGTAAAAAATACATTTGCAAAACCCAATCTTGTATCTACCCCATAATATAATGTAGTAGATAGCCCCTCGTATTTACTGCTTTATGTGTCATTGTGTGAGGGAATGAGAAGGAATATATAGGAATGTGAGGTTGCACTATGAATTGTACTCAATTGTGTAGTGGACAAATTGTTCATTGAAAAGTCTCATATCGATAAACAATCGACAAAGAAGTAAGAAGCTTGAGAAAGGACCGAGCAGGTAGCAACAACTGGAGAAGGACGCCGGGGAGAAGAGAAGGTACTTACTCTAGGCCAGGACAGGAAGAAAGGAGGTTTTCAGAAGAGAGAGGCACTGCACTGAAGATTAAGAAGATCAAGCCTAAAGTTATAAGACTTTAATAGATTCACTTATTACAATTATAAAATAAATTGTTTTGTTTGACAGGAGTGAAAAGTCATTTATTTATTTAGTTGTCCTATAGGCCTCACAATTGAAGAATAACAAACCAGATGAGTCAATTCATTTAAGTGTATTTAATCAGTCCCACATTTGATATATATATATTCTTATTATTTCTTGTCACTCAGTGTCACAAAAAGCATTAGCTTCCCGAATTCCCAACGACAGTTAAACACCCTCAAAAGTCTATATCCAGTGCCAGGGTTTTGTTTTAAGAAAATTAAATCACAAGTGTAAATAACCTAGTCTCCCAACGAAGCGGAAGGAATATTTACAATTCCCACCAAACGGGTCATTTACAATAGGCGATCACCAAGCAGTATTCAGAAGAAGAAGGAGCAAGCTAGACCAGATTATCATCCCAAAACAAGTACTCAAAAAATTATAGGAAGTAGCTGAGAAAGTGCACTTATTTGCATATGTTTTTAGCTAAATTTATTATAATTTATAGCAAACTACAGCTTAGGATATGATTTTTACTTAAAAATTACTTTAAATCACTTTGTTGAAGGCTACTGGTTTGCTTAGCCCTCATATTGTTAATACTTGTTTACTGATATTATTTAAACACAGAATTACCTTTACTCTTTGTAGATCAATCGGGTTCATGATGGAGCCTTGAAAGAACTCAACAGTTGTAAAATGTCTCTTGAATAATCCTTCCAACTCCAAATCAGGTGGCTTCCTACCATTTATGATTATAACAGAAAATAATGAACATAAAAAAAAAAAAAGAAGAAAGAAAGAGACAGCAAGAAAGTAGAAAATATAAAAAAATTATTCTACATTCTAATTGTCGTAGCATGCGATGGTAACATTTAATTAACCACTCTTAGTAAAGCCTGGAATGTTCCAGATTAACTTCACTCGAGTGACATTCACAAGCATCTAACGTGCTTTCTCTATCTGCCTCCATCTCCAGTTACCTTCACACGCTCAAGATCGACAGCATTCATCATTGTGCCCTGAAAAAACTCCACTGTAGTGTAGTGGCGTTTTAGAAGGCCTTCAAGCTCCAAATCTGGTTCCTTTCTGTAATTCATAACCCAAATTTTGCCCTACACTATTACTTTTCGATCATTCTTTCAAAATAATTATGTATAAATATTTCATGAACTAAAAATACATACATAAAACCCAAAAAAAGTAATAATAAATATAACATTAATTAAAGCTGGGTATTAACTTATTAATTCATTAAGTTTTAAAATTAAATATTTTGTTTTAATTCATGAAATTTAAGATTATAGATATACAAGATAAGTAAGTATTACTTTTCATTATAAACAATAACTTGTTTTTTTATATTAATAAATAAATAATGATATAAAAAATGTTGATATAAATTTCATTAACTACAGGGACATCAAACGCCCTAACCTGCCCAGATCATTCTATCAACTGCAATTGCTACTGTTCCCTAACTACCATTACCATTATTAGATTTACTAATATATATTTTTTTTATGATGAATCATTCAAATATAACTACACTGCACATAAGTAAACTTCATAAACATTATATGTTTTTATTTTCTACATTTAAATAAAAAAAAAAATTTGTTAAAATTGCAATTACTTTAGTGAGTACATGAAGGATTGAATTTCATTATCTTAGAAGAGTGAAATCACTATTACCAGTATAATAATTACTGTATTTACCAAAAATAAAACAACAAAAAATAGTGAATTATTTAGGCTAAAATTAGTTTTAGTTTGATATAACCTTTCATTACAAGACTACATTATTGTTCCTAGTAAGAGAGTTATTCATATATAGTTAGGAACTTGCTAAGATGTAAATGTATCCTTAAAGTCAACAAAAAGGATTCATGGTGTGAAACCATGCACTCCCTAATCTTTTCACATACTTGGTTTAGTGGAAATCAAAATCCATTAGAGGAAACCGCTCTGTATGTCTAGAATACCTTCCAAATATATGTGATGTTCTGTGCAGAGCTATTGTGAACAATGATGTATGTACATTTCAAACTTGAGAGACTAATGCCCTTACAGTTGTATTCTGAGACTCCTACTTTTCTCTTATATATCAGTACCAAAATTTCTTGCTTTCAGTCGAAAGAGATGGACTCTTTCCACATCTGAACTTTCACGGAGTTCTAAGTATACTTCTTGTTCTCCAAATACTCGCATCAGATTTGTCTTGAGTTCCCTCCAATCAATTAATCTTTTTAGCACTCCAACCCTTTGTAACACTGTCAAACTCAGTTTCCAACTATCATTCTTTTTGTTTTCTCAACAGACATTAAGTACATTTAAATTAAGACTTAACCCTTAAGCGACAATGAGCAGGAAGGGAGAAGCAGCCTTCAGGTCGGTATAAGCTGACACTTCTCTGAGCTCCTGTGAACAATTTTTATCACAATAGTCACCACTTGAGCTTTCTCATTTATGGCATCCTTCCAAACTTTTTCATTATTTTTTTTTTTTTATCTAACTTTTATACAATAGAATGAAAGGTCATGAGATAGTTTGGAAACAGAATTCATCACTAAGCACCCCATCATTTAAAGAGAAAGAGCCAGACAGGCTCTCGACTCCTATATATGACCACTGTCAGCAGGGCGCAATTCTGTCTCGACTCATATATGAGTCCAACATCGTTAAAGGGTTACTGTTTAAAATTTGGTAAATCAAGAAACTATTCGCTTTTCCTGAAACTCTTCAGTACCTACCATAAAACATATCTATAATTCATAGATAGCTCCTTTTTAAAATATCTAAATACCTTTTCTCTCTAGTAATTTTATTTACATTATTTTTAACTACTATCAGCGGTCTTTTGATCGCTTAAGAAGGTGTAGAGTTTAAAAATGCTATGTGTTTCTCAAATCTCAAAATTACTGCTAAATTCAATTGACAAATCTATTTTTGATATGTTCTTAGTGTGTAAACAAATACAAATTGTAAACATAATTTATTTCTGATGAATTTCACAGTGAAAATGATATAATGATGTAAAGACATATGTTTTTACCACTATCAATTACTATTATATGGTTTTCGTTTATTGGATCATGAAAAATTCACCCGATTGTGTTATAAACATATGTCACAAATTATACATAGTTGGTATAACTGGAGACAGATTACTGATTATTGTTGTGATGCAAAATAAAAAAGAAGTAATGCAATTCTGTTGCTAGGTCTGTACAAAAAAAAAAACCAAACATATGCTGCAAACTGATCACTATTGAAATAATAATAGTCAGTTATTCATTTATTAATAATAGACAGTGAATTCGTCATTTTATTACAATACTCAAATATAAATTTAAACATTTAAACAATTACACCTTTAATGAAAAAGGGAAAAATTGTTTTTTAATAATATATGAAAATTCTTTTGTATTTTATAGTCCGATTTCTAGTCAACTAGAAAATAATAGTCATTTGAGGGCCACTTACAAACAAAAATAGGTATATATTAAATCTCTGACCATTCAGTGATCAACTAGAATTAACAAATCAGATGGTGAAATCCTGAAAGCTTATGAAATACATACTGATTTTCACTATAAAAATTTCTAATGTAAATTAAATGATTTTAAATAACCCATATAGTGATTTACCTAAGAGGAAAAAATTACACAACTTGTAAATGAATCTTCACAAAGCATAGTTTTATGTACAATGAAACTTTTGCAGATTATAAGACTAATATTCATGTTTGTTTGTAAAACGCAATAAAACAGGAGTTTAATTTTTAAAAATGAAACGGTGTAAATTTCTCAAAATAAAAAAAAAGAAAAGAAAAAACTGGAGATATTAAATTTCAATAAAAAAGTTTTCTGTGCATAACCTAACTATAAGGCACTAAATTAAAAGAGAAAAAACAAATAGGAAGTCATCAATTTAAAAAAATAAATAAATCATTTAAAAAATATTTTAAATTAAAATTTTTGAATATTCTTAAACAACTATCCCTATTTTCTGAGATTCAAAGAAATTTATAAATACAAAAAACTGATTAAAAATAGAAAATTAATATTTTGTAAGTCGGGTAGCACTTGTAGTTCAGCAATAACAAAACACTATTTATTTAAACATAATAGTAAATAAAACCTATTTTTAGTGAGGAGTCTCACTCAAATGGAATAAAAATATTTTCTTGAATCAACTCTTACATACCCATCAACAAAAAATTGTAAAATATTGTTGAGACATATTTGAACATTTTAAGGACAATAATTTTAATTCCTTAGCTAATATTTAATAATATATTAGTAGCCAAGAAATACAATATAATGCATTATGACAGATATACCTGTGTAAGAAGACTACTTCTACATCCACATCCTCACGATCTTCATGCAAGAAATCCTTCAGAAAATGAGAAACTGATTCATAAGTTATATGCCCGCATACAACTATGTGTCTGAAATAACATTAATTTTGGTATATTAATTTTAAAATTAATATCAACTGTAAATACAAATTAAACTTAAAAATAAATTGCATTTTTTTTTAATATTTTGTAAATTTTAAATTCAAAGTTTAAAAATTTCAAAGATACCAGAAATATATAAAATAACTAATTTAAACAGTAAATCACATAATTCCTTTTAAATATCTTAGATAAAATTGTTTTTTTTATTTTTAAAAGTTAGATGAGTCAGAAAAAAAAATTGATATAGAGCATTAAAATTAAATAAATAAACTTATTTAATAAAATAAAATTGAAAATTAATCGTTAATAACTATATAAGTAAAATAATAATAATTCTATAAATTTACATATGTACATTGGTAAAAAAAAAAACAAATAAAATATTTAAAATTACAAATTAATACAAGCATATCAAACATCCCTAGCATGCAACAAAATAGCCAGAATGTAAAATGCACAATGGTTAATCACTGTAAAAAGCTAATGAGACTCTACATTGTGTTTTAGATGAAACTGTATCAAATATATGTCGTATAATTAACATAAATAAAAAAAAATATATATGCAATTTATTATTTATTTCCAACCATTGTCTAATTATATTAAATAAAATGCTAATTATTCTTCGTTGACAAATAGAATTGTTTACAAATTTATCAGTTGTTTTATCTTCAGTTTCCATTACCGCAAAAGGTGTAGTAAATAGATATAATTAATTTTAGCATCAATAATTATTTTCAATGGATAATATATATTTTGTATATTCAAACAATTATTCATATTGTTCAAGAAAATTATTTGCAGCAACTCTCCAACACACAGTTTTCTAGGATCCAACATACATTAAACTTAAAGTCCAATCAAACAATAAAATTTTAGAAAGGTAATTGAAATGAGGTATGGGGGATCTCAACTTGGTAACTAGATAAAAAACAATTTGGAATTAATATATTCCACATTCTTTTTAGAGAATTGGCTTTTCATTAAAGTAGACAAGGAAATTCTTTTGATTTATTCATAGATCGTGTGTCAATAGTTTAATTATCTATAACTACTTATAAATTGTAATAATGTTGATTATAACCTTTGATGATCATACACATATTATCTTCTTTAAAAAAATCACAAGATGTTAAAGGTATCCAATCCATAAAGATAACACCTTAAAAAAAATGCAAAACAGTAATTTTTTTATTTTATCAAACACCAATAACTGTGTTACATATCCATCAATTAAAAAAATATACTAGATATTTGTTAGTCTTCTCCAATTCAAGATAATATCATAATTGGCAAATGTGAATTGATCAATATTTTAATATTATTGATAATGATAATAAATCTGTAATAAGCTTATTTCAAAGAATGGGATAAGAGCTGTCAAGGTGATTGTCATGTATCCAGGAATATGATTGAAAAATATGGTGGTGTAACAAGATATTTTTTTAATACTTTGATTAAATATATACAACTTGTTCAGCTCTCTTTGATTGTAGATTTAGTTGATTTAATTTTAAAGATAAATCTTATTATCATTTTCCAATTCAGATCTTTCTATTTTTTCTTTTGTGTTCTCAAAATATCTCATTTTCATGTCCCACATTGACTTCAGTGTTTCTTAGTCAATATTCAGGATTCAAAATATTAATTATTGTGGGAGGAATAAAATATAAAAACCAGTTCAGTAGATCAGTCTGTATTAAAACACCTCTAATAGTCAAGTATAGTTGCCATTAATTTTATTTTTCTTTGCTGAAACTTCTTAAGCAAGTTCTTAAGAAACTAATAACTTTGTAAATACATTTGCTATATATTTTTTTCTTTGTTAATTCACTGTACTACTTTAGTTTAGTTTGGAAACCATTCTGTAGGAAATCACACAGCTGGAGCCATTAGAGATTATTGATTTCACAAAACATCGCTCTAGCTAAATTATGTCTCCTTAGGTATGTATTATTTATAAAGCACTTAATACTTGTTAACAATTTTGAAAAATCAAATGGAAATTTGTAACATTAATGCAACCGTTTTTTATTCTACATCCTAACGAAACCATGGCCTCTATAAATGCATAAGAC